GGATGATAGAAACAGAAGATAAAGACAGATATGGATGGATGGTAGATAGATGGACAGACAGATGAGTGGATGGATGGAGAGATGGATGGATGTATGGATGGAGGGTGGATGGGTGGATTGACAGATGGATGGATGGTAGATGGATGCACAGACAGATGGATGGATGAATGGAGAGATGGATGGATGGATGGATGGATAGACAGATGGATGGATGGATGCACAGATGGATGAGTGGATGGACAGAGGGATGGATGGATGGGTGGACAGATGGATACATGGACGGGTGGATGGATGTATGGGTGGACAGACAGGTGCATGGATGGAGATATGGATGGATGGATGGATTTGTAGATAAATGATAGAGGATGGATGCATGATTAGATGACAGATTGTGGACGGATGACAGGATAGATTAAGAGCTAATGACATAGATATGATAGGTAGTAGATGGATGGATGATAGAGATAGAAGATAAAGACAGATATGGATGGATGGATGGATGGATGGATGGATGGATGGATGGAAACAGGGAGAGATTTTAAAGAATTGTCTCATGCAGCCATGGGGAGCGGCAGGTCTGAAATCTTCAGGGGCCCTTTGTCTGCTCGCTTATGTCCTTCAACTGATTGGGTGAGGCCCACCCACAATATGGAGGGTAGTGTACTAATGGAACTGTTCATCTCCTCTAAAAAAACACAACCCAAGAAAGTCCCCGCCGCACTGACACGTAGGCTACTGTTTGACCACGTGTCTGGGTGCCGTAGGCTGGCCGTGACGACACATGAAATTCCCCCTAGGTGCCGTGGTTAGTTGCGCCTCACCCCTGACTGTTCTGCCATTGTTCTCCACGTTGTCACGGTCCTTTCAGTGTGTCACTGAACACTCTGGGATGAGTCCCTTGGCCTGGGTGTGCCTGGAGCACACCATACACACACGTGCGCACCCACACACACGCGCGCACACACACACGAGGACGTGACGTCTTTTCAAACTTGCAAGAGCATCCGCTGCTTATTCTCTCCTCTCCATTTGAACGGGACGTGGAAGACGTCCCTGGGGCTGGCTCTTGGCTCTGCTGGCTCGTGCTGCCCTGACCGCCTCCCTGTTTGCCTTTAGGCGGAAGACTCTGGAAGGTTCACTATATGACACCGCGATTCCACCCCAAGGGGGCGGGGGCCTGCCACGGCCAAGGTGTGTGCCCCTGCTCCGGGGACGGCGTGACCCAGCACAGCCCGCCTCTGCTCTTCGACCTGTCCAGGGACCCTTCGGAGACGCGGCCCCTGTCCCCTGGCTTGGAGCCCCGGTACCACGCGGTGCTGGCGCGGGTGCACGAGGCGTTGGAACGGCACAGGAGGACCCTGAGTCCTGTGCCCCCCCAGTTTTCCCTGGGCAACATCGTCTGGAAACCGTGGCTGCAGCCGTGCTGCGGAACCTTCCCCTTATGCGCGTGCACGCAGGACGGAGACCCCAGCGAGGCGTGACCTCACCCTCGGCCACGGTGCCCGTCATCCAACACAGGTTGGCGATGGGGTGCAGAGAAAGGAGCGCTCGTGCACCGTTGCTGGGAATGCAGACTGGTGCAGCCACCCTGGACAACAGGAAGGCGGTTCTTCAAAGAGTTAAAAGCATACATGCCCTACAGTCTAGTGATCGCGGTGTTGCATCCACACGACTCCTGAAACAGAATGCTACAGGCACCAATGACAGTCACCACAAAGTTTATTACAATGAGAGGCAAGGCCGACCGATAGAGACCAACACTCTTGATAAGAGTGCGGCCCCGAACAGCCAGGGTACAGAGTTGTTAAAGCAAGGGGAGCCTGGGTGGCGCAGTCGGTTAAGCGTCCGACTTCAGCCAGGTCACGATCTCGCAGTCCGTGAGTTCGAGCCCCGCGTCGGGCTCTGGGCTGATGGCTCAGAGCCTGGAGCCTGTTTCCGATTCTGTGTCTCCCTCTCTCTCTGCCCCTCGCCCGTTCATGCTCTGTCTCTCTCTGTCCCAAAAATAAATAAACGTTGGGAAAAAAAATTAAAAAAAAAAATTAAAGCCGATCACATCGTTTTATCGTTATCTGGGAACAGAACAGAGAAACAGTTCCCAGATGAGTCAGAAACAGTTATCGAATGAGGTGATTATTTTAGACTTTCTGCCGCTAAGTTGCAACCAGCGGATCTCCTTGACCTTCTCTCTGATGCTCTTTTTTTGAGCTTTTGTTTCCTTCATTGGTAAAGCCTGATTCACAAGAGTATGAAGTATGATTTACAAGAGTAAAAGAGCGTAAGACTGGCTGCCAGGGTCTGGGGGAGACGAGGAGGGGGGTGGTCGGAGGGCATGAGCTTCCAGTTGTAAGAGGTCTATGTTGTGCCCGCCTCACGGTCCACGTAGATTATAGCTCCTAATACTGTGGTATATACTTGAACTCTGCAGAGAGCAGATGCTTGGTGTCCTCACCGCGCACACAGGGGGCGATCACGACTGCAGGTGGCAGCTGGGCTCATGAACGAGACTGGGCGCTCATTTCACGATGGACACCTGCATTGAATCGTCACGCTGTCCTCCGTCAATGCATACAATTTGATGTGTCACTTCTACCCCAAGAAAGCTGGGAAATAAATGCTTAAATTGTTTTTAATGTTTATTTGTGAGAGAGAGAGACCGAGCATGAGCAGGGGAGGGGCAGAGAGAGGGGGAGACAGAATCGGAAGCAGGCTCCAGGCTCTGAGCTGTTGGTACAGAGCCCGATGCGGGGGTTGAACTCACAAACTGTGAGATCATGACCTGAGCCGAAGTCAGACGCTCAACCGGCTGAGCCCCCCCAGGCGCCCTTGGGCGATAGATGTTCACAAGCTCCCCAAAAGGCCAGCACTTGGCCGGGGGACCCAGAAGGGGCACAGCGAAAAGCAGAGCTCAGTTTCCCTTTCTCAAGGAGGATGTCGTGGGCAGGGAGTGTGTGTCCACTTTCTCATCTGCGAAACAAGACAATCCCAGTGGACACCCAATCACGTCCCCCCCCACCCCAGTCCTAATTGTTTTCCAAAGCTCGGGGGTTATCAAAGTGCCAGTGTCCGATTTCTGTAGCCATTAATCTTAAAGCCTATTTGGGATTGCGTTGCCTCCGGGGACAGCCTTTCAATATGGGAGGTAAAAGTATGTTGCCTACTCTTCTCAGAGATTATTTTGGGGCTGCTAGTAACACACCCTGGGAATAAATGTCATAAACGAGAGAGGGGAGCAACCCAGGCCGGCAGGCTCATACCTAGTCTCTAACCATCCTAGCCTCTACCTCAGGGCGTCAATATGGCTGCAGCAGCTCTGGGCAGCACATCGACATTCCCAGCTGCAGAACGAAGGGTTTTCCTCCCAGCTGAGTCAGCCCTTGTGAAGGAGATTCTGCAGAATTCCTAACCCCAGCCTCCGCCGATCACCCCCCACCCCCCATCCACAGAAGGGGTGCTTGTGCGGCTCAGGTGGCTGGGAATCTGGATTTCGGCTCAGGTCATGAGCTCACACGTGGTGAGTTCGAACCCCGTGTTGGGCTCTGTGCTGACTGTGGAGCCTGCTTGGGATACTCTGCTTCTTGTCTCCCTCTCTCTCTTCCCCTCCCCTGCTCTCTCTCTCTCTCTCTCTCTCTCTCTCTGTCTCAAAAAGAAATAAACTTAAAAAGTAGCTTAAAAAGAAGGAACAACTCTGGGAACTGAGAAATTGGGCTTTCGAGTGGGCGCTTACTTGCCCCGGGGAAATTCAGGGTTAATCTCGTCAGCCTATAGGGTGGCCCATCTTTACGGACGTGACCAGGGTGTTCGAAACATCATTTCATTGTCCAATTACTGATTCAGCAAATGTAGAGTTTCCAGGTGGCTTCTGAACATCTGAAATTTCTGCAAGAACCCCCCCCCCCCCGCCGCAGGCTTTTCTTTTCTTTTCTTTTCTTTTCATCCTTTATGACTTTCTCGTCGGCTTCTGGTGAGTCAGAGTCCTTGAGTGAAACACAACACAAAACACCAGTCACTGCGGATTTGCGTTATCTTACTGGATGCAAAACCAAGTCAGATAAGAGAAGTCACGTAAGTGCAGCAGGGAGGGGGGCGGGAGGGACGCGGGGAAAGACCCCCCCCCCCCCCCCCCCGGGGAAGGGAGCCGCCCACCGACCCTCAGCGGAAGGGGGCGGCCCCCAGCCCCAGGACTGGAGATCCGCGGAATGCCCTCCGGTGGAGGTTGGGGCCCTGGAGAGACAGAACAGACCCCATCTTAATCTCCAAGGTTCCTGTCTGTTGACTTACAGTGAAACCTTGGCCACTGGCCTAACCGGTTAGACCGGCTGTGGATTAAGTCAGTGCCCCGGAGGCCAGACACACCTCTCCCTCGAATGTTTGCTCCCACACGCCGGGCTGCTCAGTCTGCAGACACAGCAAATGAGGCTCTTTGCACAGGCTGTTGCTGAACCCCCAGGGCTGGCCTCCCTTCCCCTCACCTTTATGCAAGCTCTGCCTGTAAACAGCCAATGGGGCGTCCACACATTTAGACATTTAGACACTTCATCTCTCAACAGAAGAATGGATTCACAAATCCGCCAGAGACCCACATGTGAAAGAGAAATCTGCCAAACCTTCAGGAAAAAAAAAAAAAAAAACCAAAAAACTCAAGGGAAGATCTTTATCATCTTCCCTTAGAAGAGACGTTTTAGATAAGACACCTAAAGCCTGAGCGTTTAGCAGAATTCAAAGCCCCTGTGCTTCAAAGAGATGAACAAAAGAAGAGATAAGCCACTGGTGGGAGGGAATCATTTCCAAATGAATACAACTCCGTAATAATAGAACCATAAAATGTAAAACACACACACACACACACACACACACACACACACAGCCAACGCTCCTTCTAAGTACCAAAATACTTGTGATGGCATAGGTCACATCACATCTCTTGGGGACTCAGCATATACAATTGTGTAGTCCCAACATTACATAGCACAGATTCGGGCACCGGCTTTATTCAGGTATACATTGTATTATACCTCTTACGTGGATGTTTTGTAGAAGTCTCCGAATGTTTTTGAACTTGTCATTTATTGAATAAGCACATGTCACAGTGCCTGCCATACAGAGAACTCAATAACCAGGAAGGAAGGAAGGGGGGGAGGAAGGAAGGAAGGAAGGAAGGAAGGAAGGAAGGAAGGAAGGAAGAATGGGTAGGTGGGTGGGGGTATGGGGGGATGGATGGATGGGTGAATGGGTAGATGGATGGATGGATGGGTAGGTGGGTAGATGGATGGATGGGTGGGTGGATGGATGGATGGATGGATGGATCGATGGACAGATGAGTGGATGGATGGATGGATGGATGGATGGATGGATGGATTGGTAGGTGAATGGGTGGGTGGATGCATGGGTCCGTGGATGGACGGATGGATAAATTGAATAAATTAATGAATATGTGACATTGAGAAGCAATGCTAGGAAAATGGGCAGCTTCCATAGAGAGACCTTAGGGAATTTCACACACTGAGAAGTAAATAGTTATATGCATTTTACTGCTACTAGCAATTCTGAAAAAAAAAAAACCAAAATTGGTGATTTAAATTGGTACAACACAAAGGCAACCACATCCCTTCCCGCTGTTACATATAAAATATTATTCTGCTGCTCACAACACGCGCATACACACACCAGAAGGGACACCATATTGCTGTTTTCAATTTTTAATTGAAATGCGTGAGCAGACCAGAATGCGTAACAGAAGTCTTCGTCGAGCGTGTATCTTAAGCCAATGAACCACTGTCCAGAAACAGGAGTTCTCTTCCCCACAGAAGCTACGCCAGACTCAAATATTCATCATCTGGGCTCCTCCTGAAGTATGTCAGACTTGGGCTCCTGTTCTTTGTAACCCAACACCACAGCACAGAGCACCAGTCTTTCCCCAGAATAACTGTACCGTGTTACTCGGACGGCTGAGTACCGTCCCCACCCAGTCCCTCTAAGGCTATATCCCAATGGCTATCTTCAATTAGCCCCGGGAGCATCCTGTGTGTGATGTCAGCCAAGACTGCCTCCCAGAGCTGAAGGAAGCAAACCCTCCGTCACTCACATCGTGCAAAAGCTGTCACCACAACTGATGTCACAGACGCGCCCAGATTCCCCTAGCCAAGGGCTCACCTGCTTGACAGGAGGGAAACTCTGGCCAGACACACCCACCGGGTTATGACATAACCATCACCACGTGGTTCAAACCGGTCTACCAGACCCTTCGATGCTCCACAGTACGTGCAAGACAAACCATTCTAACTTTTAAAACGTCACATTTACCTCTCTTTAGCTTAGCGATGCCCTTCGTTAATTATGATCGTGGCGGCCACAAGCAGCGACCCTGTGAGCTGTTCCAACACGCAGCATGGATTCACAAAATTAGGACACTTCTGAAGATGAGGATTTCTCCTGGAAGAAAGCTTCCAGTCTCAAAAAAACTGAGAACTGTCCCCAAAACAGCGGTGTCGAAATGGTTTGGGAACGTGCTGACTTGACCCGCTATTCAGGCTGAGGTAGTGATATCCAGCAACGAGCAGTCACGTGGGACACACCGCAAATGGGTCTGCCTCTAAACAAGGACAAGAACCTCGGGAGATTCTCTTAGCGTGAGCAAGGTGTCACCAGAACCACCTGGACTAAACCCTTGGTTCTTCCAAACTGAGATGACGCTCCCTGCCCCAAGCCGGCTAGAATCTTCCTTCCACATCATCTCCAGCATCTCCCAAATTGGGCGT